TTGTATCTCCCACGCTCCTCAGGAGATGTAAGAAAATGTTTTTCTCCCTGAGCCTGGCCTTTATAATTCCATTCCATCACATTTTGTGCCCCAGTAGGAAGACCAACTTTCTGGCAGACCTGCAATCAATCTTCCAGAAGGTCACTATTCTACGGTATGTCTGAACAACCTTGGTCTGTGCCAGTAAAATATCTGGTGTCTCTGGAAACTACAGCAAGAATGGCCAGGGAGACTCAGAGCTCACCAGCTGGACAGGAGCAGGGAGACTTGCAATAGCCAAATGTAGTCCAGTAAATCACTAACCTCCAAGGGCTTCTTTCTGCCCAAAACCTAGAATGTCTGCATGGGATGTCTTATACCAGCATAGGATGGAGAAGATTAGTTTTATCAAACCGCATTAGCACAACTTCATTCTGCCTTACCAGCAGGCTGACCAGAAGATGAACCCTGGGTTGTTAAAACCTGTCCTCAGCAAAGGGTTAATGGGATGTTTTTGTGTTGCAGCAATCCAAAATATAGATGAATCCCAAAAGAATACTTGAGTTTCAATCACACTCATAAGAGTTTCTTGCACTTATGTAAATCAGAATAGATTTGGGCCTGGATAGTAATTTACTATAGCCATCCTTAAATCTGGTGTTCTGATTAACCTCCAGACTGGTCAGACTACAGTTCCCATAATTGCAAGCTAGCATGGAGACTGGCCACACTGGCTGGGAATTCTGAAAGCTGTAGTCCAACATACCTAAAGGTTATCAGATGGCAGAAGCCTTCTTCATGGGGTACCTCAGTATCTTATCCCTCCTGCAGGGGCTGAAGTAGAACTGTGGCTGCAGGTATGCATATGTCATCCTCATGTACTGTATATCCCACTTTCTGCTTATGCAAGTACGCAAGGTAGCTTACATCAATAATGCAAAATATGAAATGAAATCAGTCCAATCGAAATTAACAGTTGAAACTTGATGAAAAAGATGCAGTTTTGATATTTTCCAAACACTGGAAGAGTGGGGGCTAAATGCACCACCCTGGGGAGGGCATTTCATAAACTATGAGGCATTCAAAAAAAGGTCCTCTTCCACCTATCAGACAGCTGGTCTTGTGGCAGCAGGAGCATTTTGAAAATACCTGCTGATTGAAATAACTGGCCCTTTTCATCATGGCAGGCCCTAACCTGATTAGCATTTTAAGAATCAACATCAACAACTTAAATTATATCCAGTAGGGAATTGGCAGCTAGTGCAGATTTTTCAGTACAGGCATCATATAATTCCCACAGTTAACAATATGACCACTGCGTTTTGCACCAGCTGCAATTTCTGGACAATTTTCCAGGGAGCCGCCTGTAGAAAGTGTCAGTGTAGTTAAGTAGCCAAGGCACAGATAACTGTCGACAGGTCTGCTCAGGAAGTTAGCACATCAGTCAAAGTTATGCAAACTTTGTGAACTGCAAATCCAGTAATGGCTGGCTAGTCAAGGAAGACTCTCAAACTGTGAATCTGCTCTTTCTGGGGAATGCAATCTTATCCAGAATAGGCTTCATTTCAGTCCACCAGATAGTTTTCTCCTTACCAATAGCTTTTTATCTCTAGCGTATCTGGATTTAATTTCAGCTTCTTCTCATTCATTCAGCCTAATATCAACATTAGACAATGTTCAAGGATAATGGTTGCTTCCTTGCAATTGGTTGGGGGCAGTAGAGTTAGTACCCAGCTATTTGTGCCTTTGCGGCATTATCTCCTTCAGAATGATTAGCTAACCCAACTGATTAGATGGGTTGCCAGGAATGAAGTTTCAACTAATGTGTTAATTAATGATCAACAATATTTCATCTAATATTTAGTGAAAGATTGTCACCAACTTCACTGGGAAGAAGAGAAGCCGAATCAATCACAGCATTGAAACTATGCTTAAATATGCAGCAGGTCCACAGGACTTTAGCTACAGAGGTATTAGGACCACAGCTCTGAAGAGCCCATGTCAAGCCAGTTTATGCCAATACAGTGATAATTCAAACAAACAAACAAGCAAACAAAAACCCCTCTACCTATCCACAGATATAATTGCCTACTGTTGAATGCTGCTCAGTCTTGATTAAACTGTGGCCTTTAATAAGACACAGTGAATGTTTCAATATGATTAATTTATGTTCATGTGTAAAGCTAGCTACTATGGTTTCCATGCTTAGTAGTATGTGTGAAACTAGCTAATTGAGACCTATTCCACAAACCATAGTGAAGCAAATATAGCTGTGTGCATTTTGAGTTATATCTATGACAGCCTTCTTCCCTAAATGCATCCATTTTAATCTATTCAGTCAGCCTTCCCCAGCTTTAGGCCCTCTATTACAACTCCTATGATTCCCAGCTATTGTGGCCAGATTAAGCAAAGCTATGCAGAGAGTTGGAGAACATAATTTTGTCTAATAGAACAAGCGTAGTGCTGAACTTACTTCTAGAATCACAGAATCTATGCATGGAATTTGGAGCCCTACCGACTTACCGATCTTGCAGACGCACATGTTTCTTAACTTCCTGATTGTTGTGGGTAGTCTTGTCCATTCTCACCCTCGCTTGCTCATGCAGCATGCTGAAACTATGATCTCTCTGACATGCTGAACAGGCCAGGACTGGGCTGTGCCAGCAAAGGATTTGTTGAACTTAGGTAAGAGAGGCCAGTAAGCAGAGAAGGTATGCAGCTCAGTGAACCCATGGCCCCAGAAAAGCACCTAGAAAACATTCAAGCAAATTGTTCATCACTAAGAGCTTCACTGTCTTTCTGTCATCCAAGCTCACAGGTACAGCAAGCCCCATTTAAATCAGACACAGCAGAGTCTTGTTCAGAAGATGCTAGTTAGTCTGGTGTTCTTGAAACATGCCGAAGAGGCCAAAGGGAATTCTGCATCTGCGAGAACAAGCCACTTCCAGCATAATTTAGAACAGCCTTCCCCCCATTTTCTCCCGAAGTTTTGGACTTTCCCACAATCCATAGTTAGTGAGACAGTAGCCTTGGCAGGGGACCCTTCAGAATTAGGGAAAGCAGGCATGTTTCCCCTGTAGCGGCTCAGTTTAGAAATGATGGACAGGGACAAAAAAGAGAAGTATGCAACTCAGTCCGACAAATTGAAGAGGTGCCCTGTTTGGGGAAAATCGAAAACCCACTGAATAAAATGGGCACTTCTTGTTTCAGGCCATTTGCAGATTCCCTGAACAGAAGAGACCCTACACTACTGTAGTTCTTTGGTCCAGATATATGAAGGCTGGGAGAATATTTGAATACTGTGCTGTTTGTTCTTTGCCCCATGTTTTGCAGCCTTGTTTCTCCATCTTCATATTCCCAAGAAATTTTTCCCATGAACTGAGATTTTCTCCCCTACCTGTCCTTTTCCATAAGATCCTCTCTCACCTCACGCTGCCAGCAACTTCATCATCTCCACAGTTTCAGCCAGGCTCTGTGGCTCTAGGAGATGTACATGCAGAGTGAAAAGAAAAGTGAATACAGGAAATTCCTTATCTCTGAGGCTGGTGGTTGCTCTTTGACACTTCCTCCTCTTGCTCCACCCTTACAGCCACCCACACACATACTGGCCACAACTTCACAGTTCCTTCCACAGATACCTTCAGCTTCTTGGCAAGCTTTTGCAAGGCTGCCTGGAGGATTAGATCCTACCTGTTCATCTTGCTTTAGGATTATCAGATATTTCTTTTATTTTTACAACCATACAATGGTTCATTTTGGGTACTTATGGCAGTCTAGAATACAATGCCACTCTACAGACAAAAATACTAATCTCTGACTAAGAGCTATTGAGGTTTCTGATATAACAGGGACTTGTGAGGCAGAAGATAAAATTGAAGTCCTTGTGAGCTATTGACTCCCCCCGATTTATTACGCTTTGGGGCTAATAATTGGAACAAAACATTTAAATCTTATTGCTACGAGAAGTGAACAAAGTATTTTGATAGTCCGGGAGTTTAATTCCTCCCAGCAAAGTACTTTAGTGCTGGAGTGAGTTATAATCTTTTTTTTTTAACTTATCTTTTTTTTTAAAAAGTGTGGAATTGCCATTTGTAATAATGAATAAATTATAGTTATTTATGTTACATGTTAATATCATTTATGTTATTTTATGTATAGTTACTTACGTTACATGTTAATATTGTTAGTGTGGAATAAAATGTTAGACACTTGTTCATACATTCTACCTGTTTAGGCATTGCCTTTATATTACAGAAATACAGCTAATATGCAAAAATGTATTTGACATAACTAAGGTCAATCATATATATATGTCAGAGGAAGTCTGGAGACTTTGTGATGGAAACTAGATGCTAACAAAGTAGTTCTTCAGGTACTTTGACAAGCAAGGAAGAAAGTGCATCTTAGCATCACCCTTGCAAACTGGCTCTGTAATAACCACAGCATTTGCTGCTAGTCAGGAGAAAGAACTAATTAATCTATATATCTGCATGTCAGAAAGATAATTGGCCTAAGATGCCATGATTAAATGCATGCTTATTTAAGCCTAATATGAATTACTTTAAAGGTAGTATATTTAATCCTAAACACCAACTCAATACAGAAACTAGACAACCTGATCAAGAGAACCCTTAACAACCTAACCAAAAAAGGTCAAATCACAAATGAAGAACAGTGGCGGATGAAAAGCAGTGGACCCATCCTCCCACGCTTCTATGGACGCCTAAAAATATACAAGGCTGACATACCTCTCCATACAGTTGTATCGTTACCAGGAACCCCAACATACAACATAGCAAAAGAACTCACAAAAAAGCTTGGACATCTCCAAAACAGTCTATCAATTCCCAACTACAGTGCCTCTGGAAAATCAAAGACCTAAAAATAGATAAAGATGAAATTATGGTTTCATTCAATATCACAGCACTCTTTTCATCCATAGACCCAGAAATAGCAAAAAAATCCATGGCAGCAGTATTACACCACACATCCAACCTAACCAAATGCACCAAGAC